TTAGGGTTTATATTGGAAACGCAAAATTAGCCTATTTGGAACGTGATCTCAATTTAATTGGTAATGAATATAATTGGTCTTTATCTATATTCTTTTTGTAAGCTTTATTTATTATTGTTTTTTAAAATAAAATGAACTGTCATTTCACAATTTGATCTTTGTCTCTTACTTTGTAGAGGTTATATAATATTTGAAGTGCCAACCAACATTATTTCAATCAAGATCAAACCTTCAATTTGGCGTTAGTTATATATATATATTTATTTATTTACTTAGTAAAGTGGTATATTCGCATCGCTAATTTCTTTTTATAGTCTCAACACTCATGATCATAGGGGGCTTCATAGTGGTAGCCATGGCATTTGTAAGTATTAAAGATACATTAATATATTTAGTAATTTGTCCTTATTAATTGACAAGTATAATTAGCTTTGGACACAGTGCTATGCATTTACCTAGTTTATTTTAATCAATTCGTAATTTAATATATATGAATTATTTTTTAAAGGTAAAAAATTATTCTCAATTGATGGCTACAAGATTTTTATTAGGTGTTTTTCAAACTGGTCTTTATTCTGGTATTATATTTTATTTTACCAAATGGTACAAAAAATCTGAACGAAGTTATCGACTTGGCTTATTTATTGCTGGTGGCATAATTTCTGGTGCCTTTAATGGTCTTGTGGCATTTTCGATCACAAATTTGACTGGTAAATTTGGTTTGAATGGTTGGCAATGGGTAAGTATTTATATATATTTTTATTTGTTTCATCACATTTCTTATTCGTTTTTTCCTTTGTTATTACATCACTTCTTTTTAATTTCAGATATTTCTTATTGAAGGAGCGATTACAGTTATATTTGCATTTTTTTGTTATTTTTTAATCCCTGATTATGTGGAAACCACTACTTGGCTTACGGATGACGAGCGAAAGCTGATCGTTGAAAGATTACGACTTGATACGGGAAATGTCCATGCAACTCATTTTGATAAGCATCAGATTATTTTGGCTTTTAAAGATTTGGTAATGTTTATAAAAAAAAACATATATTCATACTTTATATAAATTAACCCTATTTGATTTATATTATTTAGAAAATCTACATATTTATGTTTATACATTCTTGTCTACTTATTACAATGTACTCTTTCTTTTTTTTCATTCCAACGATCGTGAACGGTTTAGGATTTGATGTTGGTAATATTCATTTAACTTTATTTTATCTTGTTTATACCGTAAATCAATGTGTAATTACTCTTTTTACCTGACTATTTCTTTATTAGTTATTTCCCAACTTCTTTCCACTCCTCCGTATATTCTTGGATGTGTTTCATCCATTATAATAGCAAAATTATCTGATAGTCACAGAATTCGTAGTCCATATTTAATCTTTGGTTTATTCGCATCAATTATTGGGTACTCATTTCTCATTGCGCATAATGCTAGTGTTGCTAGTAAGCTTTATTTGTAACTTTAATCTGAAAAAAAATTTTGTGTTATAGTAACATTTTGTATTTTAGTGAAATATACCGGTATATGTGTCGGATTGGGTATATTTGCATGTCTCCCTTTAAATATTGCATGGTAATGTTTCTAATACATATATATATATCATTTTAAACATTAATGCTTTATATTAACTAATATCTGTCTAAAAATTATCAAAAAAAAACACGCATTAAAATCATGTAATAAACAGGATGGCAGACAATTTGGCAGGTGACTCTAAACGTTCCGTAGGCTGTGCGATGGTAATTGCCTGGGGTAACTTGGGTGGTGTAGTAAGCGCACAAATATATAAACCTAGCGATGCTCCAGCTTATATAACTGGTCATACTGTTACACTATCATTTTTAGTTTTCGCTATAGTTTTATCTATTATTCAACGTTATTATTTGAATAGATTGAATAAATATAAGCTTGAAGATCCTAAAAGATTTTTAAAAGGATCTAATGTGGATGATGTTACACATTTAGGAGATTTACATCCTTCATTTATTTATAGCCTGTAGTATATGGGGTCTTTCATATTAAAAGGGCCCATTTTGCAATATAAACAATTTTGAGATAATTGAGTTGAATCATTTGT